CCATCTACTATCACTGACGGACAAAACAATGCACAGTTTCTTTTCGTGTATTTTTTATCTTATCTTGACGTTGAACATGTACTGTATATAGTAGCTAGGATATTTTGAACAACTTTTAAAAATTGTTTTTCGTCAATCAATCTTTCTCAACGAACGTCCATAACACCACGATGACGGGCTGAAGATTTGTACCGATCCGTGAGTGGTTGCAGACAGCCAATACGTCAACACAACAAAATCAACAATCAATGTACCAAGCACTTCCACTGCTAACCGCCAAATCTTCTTTCTGTACGGTAGACAAGACAACAACAAGGTGCGGCCTGCCATTATATCCGTGACCAAATGTACCCTTTTACCAGTAGGTTCAAAATAAAGCCAAAAAATCACACATGTTAACTGTAAAAGGACTTTTCCCTCAATACCCAATTTTGCTTAATATTCTAATTCTTCAACAACTACAACAAACTTCAAATCTTCCGCATATTTGCTATGTGAACTATATTTTGTAAATATTAGAATTCATCATTCTTTCAAAATAATAAAAAATATGTTTTTGTTATGCCTACCAAGGTAAGAAAACAATTTGACTATTATACATCCCTCCATATACAGCTATTATTACTCAATAATATGTTTCAGAAATGCAGTGTGTGCTTGGTGAAGTGATATGGCGTTTGACAAGTAGTGCTATATCCAGTCAGCAGAGTTATCCTGTAACAGCCGAAATTTTCTCTACGTGACTCCAGTCGATTTCCCTTATTTCATTACTACCCTTATCTATTTATATATTTATATGTTACGCCGAATTCATGGAATTGTCGATTTCATGAAATCAGTAACGTTGTCGAAAAATACGTGTAATCGGCAATTTGACTACCAAATTCACGGAATCGGCAAATTTTGATTTCTGATTTCGTGAATTAGGTAGCCTTTTTCTGCCGATTGCACGATTCGGTTACACTTTATTATTATATAATTATAGTGTCTTATGGCAGTAATTGAAAATTTCTTGCTTTCTTTAAAAGTTGGTGATAATGTGTTGGTATCAATCCCGTCTGTGGATCAAGGTCGTGGTGATGCAACCAACCTTCTTGCAGTTATCATAGAAGAAAAAAATGGCAAATTCCGTATCGGGACTAAAGAAGAGATTTTGAACACATGGCTTGAGCGGAACATTTTGACAGCAACAAAGTACTGTTCCCTGACGACTGCAAACGTTCAACAAAATGAATATTCATTACGGAAACTTGTTAGATTGAGGTCAGTTAGGATCGAACAAGGCTATTGATTGGCTATATATTGACGTTGTACTTGTAGTACGAATTGCACATCTAAAAAGTGCACATGTAAAAAAAATAATATGATGTATTATTCAGCGTGTCACCCAGACCATACTTACCAAAATATTTAAATATAATATACATTTTTTTTATTTACTTTTTACACATTAAAATGTATTAATTATTTTATTATATTTCCGATGTTTTACACATTTATTTAAATACATATAATATTCATAGGCGCAAATAGGGAGTTACATTGGCGGGGGCTCAAGCCCTTTAATATATTCAACAAAAATCCCCCCCCTCCACAGCAAATAAAAAATTTTTTTTTTTATTAGCTACCTACTAGTATAAAATTATTATTTATTAATGCACATATATTTATTAATAACTAGATAATTGGTTACAATATTAAATTTATTCTTCTATTAGATTTGGCAAAGTCGTTTAAAACTGAGACCCTGTCAATATTGATATCTTTTTCAATATTAATTATCCCTAAACTGCTAAATCTTTCTTGGAGCATCGTTGTTCACATCCATGTTTTCAACCTCCTCATTGCAGAAAATGACCTTTCACAAGTAGCGGAATTGATTGGCAAAGTTATTGCTACATTAAATAATTTGTAATAATTTGGAAAGATTTGTTTGCTATTCAATGAGTTTAAGTGATTTTGCAGAACTTCCAAATCAACATTAACTTTCAAGACATTTTTGATAACCATCATTTCTGATCTTAAAGAATCTTTGGAAACACCAAATAAATCCTAAAAGTTATTATTTACAAATTAGTTATCAAAAGTATACAGTAAATAAAAAGTAGATTCGAACATTCAATAACGTTGTTTAGCATAATTTATTAATATAAATACATCATAAATTAATATTAAATTTAGTGTTTATAAAAAAAAAATACTTCTAATAATTCTCATATTACCTTATAATGATTAATGAATTGTAAACTTTCATTAAAATTTAATTTTAAAAAGTTGTCTACAGATTGGGCTATTTCCATACTTTCTGGTGAAAACCGTTTTTCCATATTGACAATAATAGTATCAAGTATAGGATAAAAACAATGCATTTTCCAATAATTTTTATTTATTGAAGTACCCATTAGTACATCATTAACACGGTCTTCTTCTGCCGAAGTAGTTGACATTACAGCATACTGTTGTAAATATGTAGGTTCCCTTCTAAGACGTTTAGAGCCACCTGAATTAATTAAAATTATATCAATAATTTGAATTATAAATTTATTTTATTTTAATAGGTATTATTATAATAACACACCTTGTGAAGGAATATCCAGTGACACATCATGTTCTTCACAAAATATAGTAATATCATTCCACAGGTTATCAAAATATACATCTGAACGGTTATTTTTCAGAGTATCAATCACACCACATACTAATGAACTAGATTTTCCAAGAGTTGTAGACTTTGATTGCAATTGAGTACTTAGAATGTTAATAATTTTTAAAACATCATTAAGAACAAACAAATGTACCACAAATTTCCCATTCTTTATTGTAGACAGTAGACCTATTGCTTGGGCAACATCTTTATCTTTTTGTAATTCTATTTCTTCATCAAGAATATATAGAATAGGTTTAAAATTTGCGATGACTGAGTTACAACTCTTATAACGGCAGACCCATCGAGTATCTGATAACTGTGGAATTTTTGTTTTTTTAACTCCTAGTTTTTCTTGAATGTCAGTCATTTTTTTATTTTTCGTAGGTTGATTAAAATGAACATACAACGCTTCCAGGCCATTAAATAAATTCCGTGCGTCCTAAAATTAAATTTTAAAATACTTGATGTCATATCATTTTTATTAAAGCACAGAATGTCAGAATTTAATACTCCACAACTGAAATAAATATGTATACATTTGTTACATTTATAAATATATTTGATCTCACCTTTAAATGTTTACACATATCAATGACCACAAGATTTAATTTGTGTGCCATACAGTGTACATAAATAGCTTTAGGATGTATTTCTTTAAGCTTTGCCTGAACTCCACCAGTATGACCTGACATCACGCTAGCACCGTCATATGATTGACCTATTACATTAATTTTGTCCAAGTTCAAATAATTTAAAAACTGTAATAGAGCACCAATTAAACTATCAGCATTTTGACTTTGAGATACATCTAAAAATCCAACAAATCTTTCCTCTACTTTTAGGTTTTTTGGGTAACGAACACACACAGCTAACTGTTCTTCTTTGTGGCATCTAATATTTTTTTATATAAAACAATTATCAAAATGTAGCTTAAGACTATTTAAGTAAATAAACAATATGATATTAAAAAATTACCGAGCTTCATCACACGAAAGGCTATACATTCCAGCACTTGTTATATCTTCAACAATAGTATTCCTTACATATTTAGCGCATATCTCAATGATTTCATTTTGTATTAACCAGCTTGTATGATTTGTTGGTTTAGCATAATTTAAAGCAAAAGTTGGATTATACTTTGCCATTAGTTTGCATGCTTCTTTTAAGTTACCTACATACCATAAATAGGTATATAATTAATTAACATTAGTTAGGTACTTTTATGAATAAAAAAAAATATATGGTACCTACTAAATTCACCCAACTCACCTTGATTCAAAGATGTTTCATTTTCAATATGACCTCTAAATGCTACTCCTTGATTTGCCAAAAATAATATGATATCAATTAATGTTAGCATGTAATCTCTATTTTCTAATATTTTATCACGGTGCGCATTTGTAACTAATGTATGAACAGTACCAGTAGTTTTAGATTGGATATGTGCATGCCACTTTGTCATACAAGTCAAATGGTACTGACAACTAGAATGCAACTCTAACTTTGATTTAGTGTATTATGATCCTTTTCCTCTAGAGCCAAAAATCTACAAAATTAATATATAGTATGTTTATATAAATAAATAATTTACAAAAATGAATATATATATACATATATCAAAATAGTTTACGAATAGTCATTTAACACTTACTTTTTTCCAATTTCTAAATCCTTTAGTTGAAAATTCCATGTTAGCTACAGTTCTAGAGCCAAACATTCTACAAGAATAGCAAAATATAGAATCCTCAACCACACTATACTCTATCCAATCAAAACGACTATATACCGTAGAAGAAAAACCTCTATTTTGTGAACCAAATTGTGTCTGAGGGTATTTCTAAACAGAAGAATAAAATTATTGATTATTATTTAATACTCATTAGTTTTAAAACTTGAGCTTCAAAAGGCTATGTTAGAAGATAAAAATATATTAGAAACACTATAATGTATATTTTATAGGTAGGTAATATACCATTATATTTATTATTTTAATATTTTAAAATAAAATAAAAAATTAAAATAAATACAGACTAAAATATCTAATTATTGTAACTAGCCAACTAGGTATATAATTAAATTGTAAAACTTACTTCTAATATAGGTTTAGCAGGACCTGAATCGATATCACCTAAATCATTTACCCTGGTATTTGACTGAAAACTATTAATTTGTGGATCTGTGTTGGAGTTTGATATTAGACTTGCATTTTCTTCTAGTAATGTTGTAACACTTCCAGATCCAAGTGAATCAATCTTTCAAAATGTGAAATGTTAATTTAAATAAAAAAAAAAAATTAAAAATGTTAAAGAATACTACTTACAACTCTGGACGATGACTGTAGAATGCCATCATTGTCTTCTTTGATATCTTTTTCAGTAGGAGTACTTGATACACTTTTTTTTATATTAAAAATGCTAAATAATGATTTCTCATCCATAATTCTAATCGTTTTTAATATGTAAGGTGAAGTAACTTGTTTATAGCAAACGCTTTTAAAATTAAAATTAACCCTGACACTGGCTATTATAGTTACAATGTTATATATAAATATATAATATAACTATATATATATATATATATATAGTTATAGTATAGTATAGTGTTATACTGACAAACTAGACAAACTATAAACTGTCATACTGAAAACTGAACTAATAGAAATAGACAATAGTGCGTAGGTACAGTCCAAACATATTATAACATAATTTTGTATGGTACAGACTACGACACTACGTTGACTGTTGAGAATGTTAAGATAATGTGCCAATAAGTAATAACTAATAAGTAATAACAACTGACAAGACAGCAATAAACTAATAACTAATGTCTAATAATAGTTATAATCATGAACTAATAAATAATAATAAAATAAGCTATGACGTTATATCGGCAATATGCTTGATAATCGCTGGAAAACCCGCTAGCTGTTTACCAGCTTACCCGTATAATATACTCGTACACATATACATATAATGTGCGGTAAAGTCATGATGCACGTGACTGTTTTCGAAATATCACGCGATATTAAATTTATGTTCCCAATATTTCATAAATCAATTAATTTATAATTGAAATGTAAAAAAAAAAAAATTATATTGACCATATTCTACACTTTTACAGTCATAGGGAGCAGTCG